AGATGCAAACAAAAGTCAGAACAGCTTCATTTCACTGCCAGACTAGACATTTTTCAGGAATAAAGAGAATAAAACACTAGTCATGAGTCATGCTGCCAAGAGCCATGTTTTTATTTGGAACGATGACCTATGTTGCAAGAAGAACTGATCTTCTTAGCTACCTTCAAGATTGACTTTTGGCACAAGTATATTGAAGCAAAACTGGTTCTTTGACGTCTTGCAAGGGGAAGATGAGGCCTATTACCAATAAATCCTTCTAAAAGCAGACAGCATCTTAAGATGTTTATAGGGAAAAAAACTCTTCTCATAAATGAAGACTGTAACATTTTTATGGAGAAAATGGTGGAATTTAGTCTACAAGTATTCAATGCATTGCCTACTGTTTCAGCACTGGTATTTAATTACAAGTTCAGTTTTATAGGCAACGATTACATGTTTAACTGAACAAATGTCCAAGAAAGCACAGAATAATTTTCAGTGAAGCCTGAAAGTATAGTTTTATTTATCAACATATTTACCTGATCTAATAGATTCTCATATTATTTAAAAAAACAACACTCTGCTCTACTGTTACAGGTTGCAAAATTTACTTTTCTTATTTTTTTTTTAAAGTAAAAATCACCTAATGTTTGGTGATGTTGCTTCATTTCTTAGAAGTATTTATTTAATGCTTCCTTTATGCATATGTATTACATATTACACCTCAGAAACAAAACACTGCAGACTTAAAAGATTGCAAATGAGCAGCACAGAATATGGAAAAGATACTAGCTGCTCCTGGGAAGTTAGTAAAGAAGCCAAAAGGTTTCAGACAACTTTACATGGAAAATGAAAGTAATGAGAGAACTGAAAAAAGCAACAGATCATGATTTTAAGGCAAAGGAATGGGAAACTATGCTAACAAATGGGACACTGACTCAGTGCTTATGAGAGCTGGACTAACAGCAAACTTCTGGTGAAATGAAATATAAAACGTTTTTATGTAAAATACCTCCCCAGCATACATGGATATGACTTTGTTAGGAAGTTTGTAACTTCCTGAAAAACATGCATTTATAAAGCACATTACTGTAAGAATAATTATTCTTATTAAAATCTTAAATTCAGCTACACATCATCAACACAGTCTCTGTACTTTCTCATATATTTACATGAATCCGATATGATATGTCAAACAGTAACTTCATGAAGTGCAAAGGAATGTCTCAGCCTGTCCTCAAAATATACTAAATAACCACAATATGCTGCTAAACTTGGAGAGCTCTCTATTTAAATACAAAAAGGGTATGCTGATATCTTTGTCTAAGTTCATAAACTTGCTGCCCAGTCAAGACAAGATGGAGTTTCTAAGGAAGATACTAAGTTTTCCTTACAAACTCACAGCTTAACTAACCCACACAAAACCACACAAACTCAAAAATGTATGTATATAGGAAAGCTGGGCGAACATTTGCCTTTTACTTGGACCCTGCAATAAGGTTTGGCAATACCATTTCCTGCATTAACCTCAAGAGGACTTTCAAACAGAGCCTTTAATTCAACAGATCCTGCTTACCCAGCATCAGTCTTATTTAGTGGACTTGATATTTCCGTGATAAATGCATTTATTTCCTGATATTTCCGTGATAAATGCATTTGCTGCTTTTTAAATAATCAGCAACTTTATTTTAGTTCACAACAAAGTGATAAGTGATTTGCCATTTTGTACTTGCACTCAAAATGTTAATGTGATAAGATTAAAATAAACACAATAATTATATTTATAAGATAAGTAAGGACTTTGCATTGAATAACTACTACTGTGTAACTTAGGAGCTAGTTTTCATATAAACTGCATGCTGTACTATGTAACTAGATATCTGGTAATGCATATAACGTGAAAAATAAGCTAAATTTTTTAGATAATACTTACAGATTCTGTTATAGCCACTTGTCACCATAATATCAGAGCAACACTGCACAGATTTAATAATGAAATTCCTTATGTCAGGTTAAATTACAACCTTCTACCAGAGAACAAACTTGTTTCTGTTGCCAGCTTCCCTGTTAGGTAAAGCAAATGTCTGATAAAAACTTCAGCTTCTAACTTATACAGTATGTAAAATCATCACCTATGAAATCATCTTAAAAAGTAACGAACTTTGCTTTTAGACTCGTACCATAATATCTACTAAAGTCACAGAGAATCACGTGGACTTAGTGTAGACTTACAATTTTTAATGAGATGAATGTTTTTCTAGTGTGCTCATCAAGCAGAATTCTCTGATACAGATACAGGATGTTAAATTATTGCAGGAGTTTTCCAGATGACGCCGCATAGGCAGCCTCTCACATAAACAGGGATATATTTTAAATTTGCTACCTATTTTTCATGTAGATTCACAAAGCAGACTTCCTCTCAAGTTTATTATATTTTCTACATCAGCATTTTGCTCTAGATAAATGTCGAAAGCTTTTGGGCCACTCTAACAACATTTTAAGACCTAATATCAAAGCTTTAAGATGGAAAGCAGCTGTTTCACAGACACCTTTTAATTGTTTTGGAAGTCTGCAATTTTCCCCTTTTAATTGGAAATTGCTTGACTACATTCAGGATCTAGTTATGAATGTAGATGCTCAACTGGGAGAGTTTTTGTAGTTTCATTTACAGAAAATAAACTACAGGTTTAACAACTTATATTTAGCTTAACATGAAACACTACAAAATATTTTTCTTCTCTAGTTACTGTATTTAGAAAAGATGCCAAAAAAGCAGTAGTGAGACCCAGCTCATTACATACAGTGAAGCTATACCACTAAAACTGTCAGCGAATAAGCACAGCTCCCAGTGTCTTGCAGACATGCTCAACACTGTGATGATTTCTGAAAGAGACTTTTTGCCTTTTTAAAGAACTGTTTAGTACTCTTTGCAAAAATAAGTATATTTTAAGGCAAAATAAAGCCAGACTATATCTGTACAGATAAGTTAAAAAACCCAAACCGGTTTACTTAGGAAAGGTAAAAATGACCAGAGTAATTACATAGAACTTGTTTTTCTAGAAAAATGGGCAAAAATGTTATCTATAATTGGATTTAGTATGATTTTGAGCCTTCTGAAAAATTTAAAGTGAACTAGTTATCATAGCTAACAATCGACTACTACTACAAAGTGTTTTGTACACTCAGAAAAGGAGCACTTGAAAAAATGAAAAGCAGATCACTGAAGCTGCTAATAGAAGAGAAAGGTCATCAAGAAATGAATCATTCTTGTATTTCAAGCAGGATGGAACTCACAGCATTCCTCTGTTTGGACAGACAATAGGGACTATTAGTCATGCCACTTTAAAGAGGAATGAAACTAGTTTCAAAGGGAAGCACTACTACTACTACATACAAGACTGTCATTTGCGAAGTTCACTGGAGATCAAATTCATGTACTCCTCTAAAAAGCATGGAAAGCCAAGTTAGAGTAGCAGTAGGGTAGATTTGTTGTAGGCAACATTTTCAGGAAGTTATTTTCCTTGCTTGAGTTTAGAAACTTGGGTTCTAATTCCACTCACATCACTGGCAAACTGACAACTATGAAATGTCAAGCTATGCTTTAAAATCTGTGACTCCAAAAATTGATACTGGAAGTATTATGGTTTGAGCTGAGAATATGTAGACTATTATAATAATAAAACGTGAAAAAAATCAAAGTTTACTCCAAAGGAAATAACAGCTAAAATTCACTGGTTTCCAATTTTAATAGGGCAAAAACTTTGCTTGCATGTTAACATGATAATAAGCAACTTCTAAAATCAACTTGAGCAAAGAACTATATGTAAGTGCATCCTGTGCTTTAAGTGACTAAAGTTAAAGGATCATTTTGAATTTCTCAAATTAACAGAGCTGTATACCCTGAATTTTTCTTCTAAAAACCACCAAGTGCCCTTCTTAAAAGATAATGATACATGCAATATTATGTTCTTCTCTAACCATTTTAATTTTAAAGTGAGTGTTATGAAATCAAGCTTCCTAGTTTGGAAGTTACTGTATACCAGTCTGTCAATCTCCCCCAAAAAGAAAACTAAGATGAACGTAGATGCCATACCTGCTTATTTCATAAACTGATCAGTGTGGATTCTTACCATTTTTTAATGGATATTTTTAATGGATATTAAAATCCCATTAGAAGCAAACATTACCTAAAGCAAAAATAATTTTGTAGAATTTATTTCAGACATAATTTGCAGATGGCTACTTTCTTATTGGGATACTTGCTCCTCTACTCACTGATTTCCAGTAACACCACTGTCTTCTCTAAACCAGTCGATATCTGTCTTTGTATAGGCTCACAGGCACCATAGGTGCTTGTATGCCGTAGCTTCTTGGAATGATATGTAATCTGTATCCGTGTCTGCTGCATGAGATGCTTTTGTTATTATGTCCTTTCAAAACTGAAAATATTCTTATTTTCTGTGCTGGGCATATAGCTAGTTACCTGGCAACTGTATGAATGAAGACAAAAGTAAATTTGTATCCTATTTTTTGCTTAGGGCAATCACACAACTTATTTTTATCCTCATTTATGACAGCAACTGCCCAGAAGAGAATGTTAGATGTGTGTCCCAATAGGATTTTTCCAGCTTTTCCAGTCTGGAGACTCACTCCACAACTGATTTTATGGTACTGTTCTGAGTAGCTATAAATATAGAGGTTTTCAGAATCCAAAGCTAAAATTATCTAAATTAAGCATGCTATATCTTGAAAGATAAAATTAAAAGTAATATATTCCATTTACTTTTTGTCATTACAAAATTCACGCACATCAACTAGAAGTTACATTTTTAGTTCAGTGACAACTTCACAAAGAGCATCAAAAGTTCTCTTTAGAACGTTCTTTCTTGTTTTGCTGGCAGCACATTGTCCAGTCCGGATGGTTTGCTTTTCATCGTTTTTCACCACAGCTCTACTGCAATATACCAAACAGTAACTAAAAACTGTAACAGCTTCCAGAAGAGGAACAAAATTGCACTTACTTCAGCTTACTGATTCTGGCTTCTGTAGTTTCAGTAAGATTTTTTGTTTCTTCTTTCCAACGATTTGTTGCTTTTTGCTGAGCCACTAACAGACGTCTAAGCTCAGCAGCAGACTTTTGACTGGTGTCTTCCATTTCCTTAAGTCGAGCTTCATATCCATGTTCTTTCACAGCATGCTCATGCTCCATTGTGCTTATCTAGAACAAAATACAAACTGGGTAAAACCAAGCCTCCCACTTTTTACTTTTTTTTTTTTTTCCCCCCCACAACATAAGTTAAATTTATAAACATTTGTTGAAAGCATGTAACATACAGTAAGTAAATTTGTAATTATATGCTCAAAAAGATACATGTTCCCTAAGCCAATTTAAGCAAATAGTACAACTGACAATAAAGGATAATGAACTGTGTATGCCTATTTTTGTAAATAATCTTTATCCTTCTCCCTTGTGTTCTCTCCACAGAAACATGTTCTTTCTTTTTAATCTAGCTAAAATGTGCTGGGAATTTCTTAACTGCATCTAAAATCCCTTCTACATCAGAGGAAAATGATAGCAAGAAATAAATCTTATCTGTGACTATAACGGAAACCTGTCTGATTAAAAATGAGACGAAGATCTGGTATATGCTTTAGAACCACTACCTATCTACTAGAAGACTCTGATCCTTTGTTTTTAAACTATGTCTGACCAAAGGGTTCTGAAGTTGGAACTAGATTTCCCGTTTAATTTGACTGCTTCCTTTATCTTGTGGTGCAAAGTGGAAAATGGATTTGAGACGATGTTGTAAAACCGGTTGTAAAACCGCTTACTGAGGTCATCTTCATTGCTGCAGATTCTTAGATCCCTTTTCAGTATCTTTATACTCATGGAGTTAAGAGATTACTTGAAGGAAAATAAGTTATTTAATCTATTCATCGTATAAAAACCAAAGAACATTTGGGATCTTCTTATCAAGCAGAATTCAATACATACTGAAATACAATTTAATTAGCAGAGACTGAGTTATCCAACAGATTCTGAGGACACACAATGCTACGACAAAAGTACTTATAAGCAGAAACCAAGAAGCATTATTGAAACTTCTGTCCTTAATTTAAACTTTCAATGATTTTCTCTTAGAACTGCTGCCTTATGAAGCAAATATCAGTCTTACATTAAGATAAAAATAACATATAAACCATACCTTTATTTTAGCTTTTTGTTGAGCCTCTACAGCCAGTTTTCTCAAGCCCTCCATTTCCTTTTGCAATTGTTCATTCTCTTGCTGAAGTTTTAGCCTTTGTTCACTAACAAAGGCACTCTTTTCTCTTTCTGAATCCAGAATGCTTTGCAATTTACAGATAACTTCGTGACAACGAGATTTCTCTTCCTCGGAGCTGAAAGAGAAGAAAAATCTTGGTACTCAAGAGCTGAACAACTACTGTACTAGAGAAAAAAATACATACATTGGGACAGATCTCTTGTCTGACCCAGTACAGCTTTTCCCCCGTTTCTTCTTGGAAGTTTGTATCAGCTCAGCATGTTCAATGGGCTTGACAGCTAGAACTACATAGAAGTCAGTAAAGAATTTTATCAAGATGACTGAATTAATAAAAACAATCTAATCCTGTAGCAATCTCAGTAAAATGACAATGTGAAACAGATTATTTCTCATTTTTATAACATATGCAGATTCCCAACTGAGGATTGCTCTGCCAAGTGACAGGATTTACGATCATCAGAGTACAGAAATGACTGAAGCTTCTAGAAAAACCTACACTTTTCAAGCTGAAAACAACCACCTGGTCTAAAAATGTGGACCATTTATAATTGTATTATTGGAACTGCAGTAAGATCTATTAGCTCTGAATATGGACCTGAAATCCAGTATGCTATGGAAACATAGTATTCTGCATCTACCAGGAGATACCACATTGTAGATGAACTTATAAAGTAATAAATTCTGCCTGAATGTTTTACAGAGTAACTTTTCCTACAAACAGAATTTAAAAATGCAGTAAGATTCCATATAATATATTCCTATTTTCTTTTTCTGTCAAACAACGGCTTGCAGTTCTTATCTGGTAAAGAAAATCTTCCATTCTATAGCACTTTATCCCCTTTAATTCTCTGGAGATTCACTGATTCATAATTGCCCTTGCTTCAGAATTATGCTATCTTGATACTATTCCTGCTACTGATTAAAAGGATGTGACAAAAACCTAACATATAATTTAAATAGAAATAATTTCCATTGTTTCCATTCCTATTTCTGTAACATCCATTACTTACTTCATTTCCAGTTGTTTTAGTTTATTTTGTGTTGTCTGTAGACTTAGCTGAAGGTCACCTTTTGTAGTTTCTGCAAGTAAATATTTCTGATGCAGCTGCTCGAGTTTTCTACTGTCAGATTCATGTCCTCTGTCTTCCTTGTAAATCTGGAGAATAAACTTACATGTAAGATCATTACGACCTTGCACTGCTGACTGGCAGTGCAGTACTGACAAGGAGGCTGCTCCTCATTTTCCAGTGACTTAGAACGAAACTGAATTCCTACCATTGCTGCTGATACTTAGGAAAAAAGTTTTCAAAGATCTGGCATTCATTGAGTTTTCTGTCTATTGAGCTTAAATTGAACTGGAATATGTAGTAACATTCTTTTGGATTATGTCAAACATATCTCATTTTTATTTTTACACTTTTCAAAAACCCCTCTTTTTCTGTTTAGTATTTACAGCTCTAAAACATTTTCCCAATTGAAAAAAAACCAACAACTTAAAATAATTATATGAAAATTTATAATTATAAAAATCTACTCAAAAAATAAAAAAAGAAAATTAAGGGAAAAAAAAAATTAGAAATGGTAAAAATCAATGTATTTTTTCTTTCTGAGAAGAGATCTTACACATGATGTAAAAATCCATGCAATTGCCTTACCTTTTCAAGTTCTTCTTCCACTGCTCTCTTCTCTCTAATGGCTCGTTCAATTTGACCCTGTTTTTCTCCACATTCCTATTTTAAAAAGTCACTTTTAAATAAATTTAACAAAAAATAACTCAAAAAAAAAAAATTCAAGAAGTGCCAATCCAAAAAAACAGCCATTGCTGCTGGTATGTATGTATTTGATTATACTTACCTGCTCATTATTTTCTCTATAGGATCAGTCTCATTCACTATACAGACTAAGACATGTAAAATAAAACCTTTTAAAAATAAATTTAATCCATAAATAGGTGCATATGCGCTGATGTCTTTTAGTCTCTCAAATAATCTGGTACAAGTTCCTGGATCATTCAAGAATATGATGATTGTGACGCACAGACTTTCTCTTAGCACACTTTATTAGCTTTCATATACTTCATTTCTGCATACCCAACTATAGATATGTAATAGTCAGCTTTCCATGCTTTATTTAGCCCTAAAAGAAACAGGGGCACTTAAGAAATGCCACCACATGGGACATATTTTCTGGAGCACAGAATCTCACTGTCAAGATATTTGTGAACTATGATAAGAATATGCAAAATTCAAGCAATAAACAAAGAAATGCGTGGATTTGCAGAACTGTATTATTTCATAGAGAACCAGGCGAGTTCTCAGTAAAAGTAAGATATGACTGTATACACATAAGGCAAATCTGTACATTAAAAATGAATTCTCAAAGCAAGTATCTTTTTCACCTAAATATGAATCTCTGCACTGACCGTTAAGACACTACACAGAGATGCTTTTGTCAAGTAACATGACTGTAGCATTAATGTCTGGAGACTCACAGGATGAAAAGTATTATATAGTAATAAAGTACAGTAAAGTACAGTCCTAGACAATTATCCATCCATCATATTTCACTTGATTTACTTTTACCTGAATTTAGTATTTTACTTGATAAACTAAAACTAGAAGTCTCAAATCAAAAATACTATCAAAATGCTATCAAAAATACTTTCAGTCAACACCATACCATCTGAAGAGCTGAAATTTCTTCTGTTAGTCGAGAAATCTGCACATGATATTGCTTCTTTGCAGAGTCTACCTGTGACCAAAAACAAAGTAAAAGATTAATCCTGTGAACTGTTTTTCCATTCTGTTTTTATATACATATATATAGAGAGAGAGTCTATATGTGGTACATGTATATAAATATGGAAATATATGGGACTGCTGTAACTGACAAATCATACTACGTAAATGTTAGAAGGAATGCTTATTATCAATCCATATTACTTTAACTAAGGTTGTTTATAAAAAAAGCAGAAAGGAAGACACCACAACAAGGCCTTACAGAAAGAACAATAAGACTATCAGGAAAGCCGCTGTCCATTAGGTGCAAGTTATTTGCAACTTGTGTAATAGATACTTTTAGATCACATAACAGAAGAAATATTTGCTAATACCTGGAGAAACATGACCACTCATAGTTTAAACTTACTTTTTATGCTTTTCACATGATTCACTTTTACTGAGATAATTTCAAAGAAAGAAATCTGACATCTGTAAATTTCTAAGTTCTAATTAGTAAATCATTCTCTAGTAGTTATCCTAATTGCTCTTTAGTTCTTGCACCTTCTCCAAACCATGTATGACATTAAATACCACAGTTTTAAATAATGCACACAATTTTTGTGATTCTTTCAGATAACCACCAAATAAAAGGCACAAACCATCTCTGTCCTCATTTTAAAGGCTCTGAAAATGTAGGCAGTATGTTCCTGAAACCTTTCAAAATGAAAGGACTGGAAAGAAAAATCATCCCTATGCAGTACAATATGCACTTTGTGTTCTAGTGAAGAAAGTGAAAGGAGGCAAAATCAATTACACCACTGTAAACAAATAAGAAATTGATTTACACTGTTTTCCACTTGCAACAAAAGACATTGCTAACACATGCCTGTAATAAGCCTTTTATTCCTCTGGAGTTTGTCTTAAAATAAAGCAAGTCTTTTTGACATGCAGGTAATTACTGAGAACCTCCAGGTAGATCAGTTTGCATTTTAACTGCAGATGGGACATACCATGGAGAAAATTAATTTTGTGACTAGTCTTTTATCAAAAGAGCTTCAATTTTTCAGCTGCTCATAACCACAATAACAAAAATCATAAAGAGACTACAACATTTTTTTAGCCACTTCTCTACCCAATTCTGATTTCTAAGTGAGCTGTGATATTGAGCCTTTTGATTGTTAGCCATACTTAGTAGAAGAGTCTTACTTGCCTAAATAGGGTAACACTTTTAAGTACTAAGCTGCCAAAACAGCTTTCAACAAGTCCTATTATCTGAATGTATATAAGCTTCCATCAGCAACCTCCAAGATGAGGCCACCTATCATAAACCGAATACCTTGATACCAATACAATACTCAGTCTGTTGACATGCTACTGAATAGAATCTCTAAAATCAAAGTGCCATTCTTTACATCTTCACAGTGCAGCCTTCTCTATACCAGTGCCTGCACAGACATCAACACTTTTGGTTCTTGAGAGATTTAAGAACATCATGTATTTGGAAGAATATATGTCCAGATAATAAAGTTGAAGACTACAGTACTGTAGGCATGCTGCCTTGCTACCTGTATTATCAAAACACTTGTAAGAAAACTGCTCATGATGACCATGCACCATCAACAGCTTTTCACGCTGAGGAAAACCAGAAAAAAACATTCTTTCTAAACATCATAACTTACCGCCTTTCTAATTCTTGCAGCAGTATCTTCTGAAAGTTGAGACATTTCATCTTTCAGTTTTTTGATTTCTTCTTCCTTTTGTTTCTCCCCAAACAGTGCCTAGAAAAAAATAACAACTTGAAATACTACTGATAATATTTCAGTGGTGACATAGCACTGAGAGAAGAAACCCCACACAGTCACTGTTCAAAAAATCCTTTTTCCTTTCTACTTTGAAGCAGCTGAGACTGAGACCCAACACGAAAACCAGAACAGCAAGAACATTTTGCACTAAATGCACAATCTTGTAAATCAGAACCACACAAAAAGTTAGTGTCAGTAGATGCCTTTTTGTACTGGGACTTATTATTGGGACTTTCAGATTTTGGCTGGACACGGAATTATATAGAAGAAAGCATAGGGACTCAGATCAAAAGGAAAGGCTACTCTCCAATGGTCTTATCTGGGGCCAGGATCTGAAATAAAAAGTGCTAACTGATGCATAGAAAGTTCTCTGTTAGGAAATTAAATACCTGTATACACACACACACGGGTGCTCCTACATATAGCTAAGCATTTGTTCTGGTTGATACACTAAATTACTCATGTCCCAGAAAACTAAGATAAAGGAATGAAAATTATTAAGCAACTAAGGAATGTGTTTGCAATCCCTTTCATGGTGGAGAACAATGAACCAAACAGCTCTTTAGCATAAAAGAATGGTGAGAATTACAGAAAAAGGTGTAGCAAGGAACCCTAGGTGGCACACAGAGAATACGTAGATGCGGAAAGAGAGAAAGACACAAAAACATCCCTAATAGATGATATAATTTCTACCTATAGAGGTTACTCACTTCAGGCAGTAATGTACCACATCATTGGTCATACTCTCTTTTACTGCTCCTTTTCAACTCAACTTTGTATTTTATTTCTGAAACTACTCTTTAAAAATTCTTATGTCTTCTTGTAAGCTTAGCTTTGTGTGCTTTATAATATTAACGTAACAGAAGCAGCATTATTATGACAGTCTATTACTCCCACCTCTCAGAGCAAGAAGAAACCTCTGTGGCCACAGAGTGGCAAAAAGAGTTAACTAAGTGTTAACTGATATGTATATTATGCTGCATTTTTTTATCCTGTTCATTTATAAACTTCCCAGTTTGAAAAATTCAGGTTGTTTTAGCCAGAGTGGTAAATGAACAAGGGTCTGCAAATTCCAGTTTATTCTTACTACAGCATTCTACTACTTGTAACAAGCCACTTATTTATCTCTAACTGTTCAGTTACTGTCTTAGAGATGCAATTTATATCACAATAATTTTTACTGGGACACTTCTTTCTGTCAGCTTCATGTGTGTTCATAGCAACTGGCATCAAACAGTCTGCTGAACTACCTCTGGATGAAAAATGGTGTTCTAACACTGCTCAGATGTACTACTACTTAGCAGACTGGAAATTTGATTTATACTCCCTACCAGTAACCTGCAAGTGAAAGAGCGTTTTCTGTTTTTTAAACTCTGGAAAAAAAAATATATATTTTTACCTTTCATTTTTCATATTCTCTCCACTATCAGGCCACAGGGAAACGCTGTTAAGGATCAAAATATCTTACTAAGAAAAAGGAACTGACAAGTCTAAAGGTGGCCATCAAGAGCTGGAGGATATCAAACGTCATTTTTCACCCCTTTCTGAACCAGAGCCTAACAGGAAAAGGGAATTGTAGACAGTTCATAAAGCAAATGAGATGTGGCAAGTTATGAAGAAATTATGAAAAGGAAAAGATGCCACCAAAGGGTTTTCTAAATGACTATAAATATATGGGAAGAAAGATTATAACAAGATGATAATCCTCTTATTGCATAACAAGAAGAATCACAGAAGTTGAACTGTAATAATGACCAGAACCATGAAGCTCTGTCAATATTTTAAACCATTCTGGAAGCAGGCCAGAAGTTTGAAAAGCAATTTCAGACTAAAAGGGAGCGTTTATCTCCTTAACTGCTCAACAGTTCAATGTGTAAACCCAAACAGAATCAATTCTAAGATTCACCATTTATTCCCACAGACATTAACTAAACCGTGTTTCACTTACTGCGTGGCTACAGTCATCAGATGTGCATTAAAGCTGTGTCTTGCCAGCAAACACAATTCATTAGATTTCTAAAAGCCTGACTTGAACAGAAGCTTAGCATTAAAACACAGAGAAGCCTATACAGACAAAAGGTTACCAAACCCTGTATCCTATCTCTTAAAGGGGCCAACAGCAAATACTACAGGAAAAGTAAAAACTGGGTCACTTTTTTTTTTTTTTTAAATCAACAAGACACATCCAGGCATCTCCACATGTCTAGTTTTCTTTGTTGTCTCCTCCTGCACTTTCCTAATTCTCCTATGTCTTGTCTAAAACAGGCTGATTAAAACTGCACATAAAAAGTGCACTGCATTTAAAGGCATCTTTATTTTTAACTCTCATTCTGAACATTCTAACCATTTTTTGACGGTTATGGCTAAATTCAGCACCCAGTATAGTGCATTTTAATTTCTTCTACCATTTTATCATCTCCTGACTGCAAACTTCACTCACTCATTACTCAGCCACTTCTACAGATTTCTTCTGAAAAATTAAGATCTGAACATAGATCTCACTCTCTTGGTGATGTATGTCCATCACATAACAAAAAAGTCCCTTTAGTTTTAGCTCTTCTTTTCTAACCATTAATAAGTTATAAATTCATAATAGGACCTTCCATTTTATTCTGACAGCCCAATTTGTTTGTAAGTATTCAATAAGAAACCCTGTCAGTAATTTTTTAAAATTCAAGTTCAGGTACAGTATTAGCACTTAGATCACCTTTATCCAGGCACTCAACATATTCTTTGAAATTGTCTAATGTATAGTCATATCATAGTTTGCTGTCTTACACGTTACTAATTTTAGTACAAAAGATAAAAGAAGCTTGGTTGTGTATGGATGTATGCCTGTAAGAATACATAATCAAACACTTCACAACCATAAGTGATGGAAGTATTCTATTAGCTAAGAAATATCTTCATCCCTTGCCTCACCTGACTTTTTTGTAGGTTAGCTTCTTCTAAGAGCTGGATGCAATCTTGGACTTTTGCAACAGCATCATACTTCTCCCTTTCGAGACTGGCATACTTGCTGTGAAGTTCTCCAATTTGATTCTCCAGGGCTGTTCTGTCTGTTCTTAGCTGTTCAGTGTCTTGGACAGTAACACGCAATCTACAAGACAGTAATAATGTTACTCATTTAACAATACTATGCTTAATTAAGACACTAATGCTTTCAAACAAAACTATTAGGAAGTATTTATTCATAAGTTGCCAAAATTGCATTCCTGGTTTTCTGCTTGTTTTCAGACAGTCTTTGAGTTTAATATTCATCAAGTCCTAGAAAGAAACAGAATTAAAGGAATTAACTCAGATGTCTGATCTCAGAAGATCCTTAGAAGAATGTTGCTATCCTGGGATACATCAATGAAAATGTTCTATATTAAAACAGACCAGAACAGCCCCAGAAGGAACCAGGTTTTCCTCTGTGGAGGAAATGGAATAATTGGATGTGGGCAATGAAGCTGCAGCTAACAACAAGAAAACCACTGGTAATTTTATAACATCTCAGAAATTCTTATTGTTTAATTATGATTGTCAGTATTGGCAGGCGTGAGAAGGGGCAAGAGAGTCTCACAGATATCCTAAAAAAAAATCTCAGAAAATTCCACAAGTGCTGCTGGTTCAACTAAGTGCACAATTCTAAATACCCATAGCGAGCACTTTGGCAACACTTGGGCTGGCTTTTCAAGTAGACTTGCTTTTTTACTTTCTAACATGTTTGTAATGAAATATACAAAGGAAGACAACCACCCTGTTTTTGTAGAACCAAAGCACATTTTTTGTAGAACCAAAAACCTACAGAAAAGAATAAAATTAGCTAATCCCTTAAGACATTCTAAGATGAACTTACAAGCCACCACAATGCTTAGGCCAGTAAAATTCATCAAGTAGAGGCAGCCACACAAGTCTGTGCAGTACTTCAGTACCTCAAGGCAGTACTTGACCACATAGTCACAAGGCTGGCCCCCTAGTAATTATTTGGTTTCTAGAGTTACTGAAGAGTCTGCTAATCACACTCACAAGGCTGTGACCAAGAAGGGAAGATGAACAGTCACACAATTGTTTCAATAAAAAATGTATGAATTCTTCTTAGCTATCAGGTCATTTGGCTAATGTTAATAATTCAACAACGGTTTGTGATACTTGGATCACCATGCTCAGTTAAGTGTGATATCCTTGGAGAATGAAGGGGGGAGGACCGGGAAACCCCACACAAAAGATCCTCCAGTAGACAGCAGTGTAATTAAAGTTCTACTCCTTAGCAGGTATTCAATCTAAGGAAACCCCACACAAAAGAACCTTATCAAGTCTTAGATCCTCCAGTAGACAGCAGTGTAATTAAAGTTCTACTCCTTAGCAGGTATTCAAACTACTTTTGTAACTAGCATTTATTGTTAAGAAGTGTGCTTTAACAGTTTCATTAAATAATCTTTTTTGTATAAAGATTGCCAAACACCAAATCTTATTTAACACAGAAAGAAATATCTGTATTCACCTCAGAACCAGCTCGTTTACATAAGTTTTCAAATTTCAGTGTGGATGCTTTTCTTTAGAACTCCATCTAAAGCTAGTGAGAGTTGAGTAAGTAGAATTTATGCACTAGAATGAAAAATATAAGCCTCATTTTTTTCTCCATTACAGTCAATAAAAATAAGTGGTCTGTTTTATCATTTTAAATACACTGCTATCAGAAGCTGTTCTCAAAGGTTGCAGAATAGAACAAATATGATAGAGAGCAGCCAAGCATAGGATATCTGTATTTTGAGAAAATAGAACTGCTCAGAAACACAAAACCCAGAGGCTTAGAAAAACATACTATTTTATTTCACTTGATTAACAAGTAAGAGCCATCTTTACCTTGTTTCTAATTGTTTTATACTAGACTGCATTTGCTGCAAGCGTTTTTGAGAAGCTGTATCTCTTTGCTGGGCAGATATCATGTCTTCTTCCTAGAAAGAAGATATGTATTACCCAAACATCATTTGAGCTCCCCTGAATGAAGATATACTAACATAAAACCAGTTAGAGAACAACTTGCAATGAATTTAACGTCAGCATTCAGATAACTGACTAGCCATTCAGTTGCAATATAAATTTATTCCTTTCTGTAGAATACCTTTCGCTCCAATTGGCCTTGAAGTTTTTCTGTCAGTCTGGTCATTGCATCAACCTTAGCATTTGCTGTCCGCCCATCTATTTTGGCTTGCCTGTATAAAGAAAACAGTCTATGAACTACATTTCAGTTATTATAGGGGAAAAAAACTGACTCCATTACAACTTTGTTGAAATAGCTGTGGAGGGCAGTCAGATTTCATAACACTGTTTCTACAGGGCAGAAAAGGTTTCCCCCTTCTTCTCCTCCTTACTACGTGGCAGTAAGAGTGGAATACCAAATTCATTAAACAAGTGTCCTGTGGAAATAACATCTTAAAGATAACTTAACACGAAGGTGTATGTGTTGATTAAATATTTGGGAGGACTAGGCAATCAAAAACTTTAAGTGATTCAATAACTTAAATATAATTGGCCACAGATACCAACGGAGAAATGTTTTTCAGAATTAGATTTCACTTTTCAAAGCAATTTGACTAGGAATTAAAAAAAAAATAGTAACCACTTCTGAAGAATTTAACTGATATGCTTTGTAATCTAAAGAGGAATGAGAAGCTGAAACAGAAAAGGAAAAAAAAAAAAAAAAGGACAAGTTAATGAATCAAACTTCCTTCTCAGTAGAAAAGTGTATTGAAATGAGCAACCCTCCTAATCCTGATTTGGGAACGGAAAGACAGAGTCTCCTTCACCTGGGCTGTAACCAAATTATTCAGGCTGCATATTAGGCTAAATTTAAAGACTAATGATTGCATGTATGATAAAGTTAAAAAAGACCAAATATATTAGACAAGCTAACGCAAACTGGAGCATTAAAACTCATGAAAGAAGCCAGAAAATAACACTTTTAAGAATCAACTTTAAGCAAAAATTCCATATAGAAACAAAAATTTTAATTTAATGGCATAAAAAACAAGACCATATTATACCTATATTAAAATCTTAAGCAAAATATAAATAATCCCAACAATTCTATAGCAAATACTCAATTTCAGCTTAATTAATCAGAAAAGCTAGTTTTGTTATAATTGCTTTAAAAAGCAAAAACAAAAATAAAAACATTATTCCCAGACACATGGTCCTCAATGCAGGTCCACAACGTGGATCTTATTTCATCTGAATCATGCATGTTTCTCCTACAAAAACTACTTTTAAATTAATGAGGACATTAAGTTGCTTCCTCAAAAATATTTAAAATGTGATATAAAACAAAATAAAATCAAACCTCAAAACCCAGCACAATAAGGGGAAAATAAGAAAAACAGAGAGGTCATAAAATTCAGAATAATTTAAGTATTAAAAATGCATTTTAATGACCAAATTCAGATTCAGATCAAATTCATAGGTGTGTGTTTAACATATAGCAAACTGATTCTAAAGATGAAGCTTTCATTCTTCACTGTGCAATGTAACTTTAATATAATCTTAGCAAGTCATCTCTTTTAAGAGCTTTAAGATTCTGAAATGCAGATACCTGCCCTACCAATGCCAAGTTTCCATCCTAGCAATACCAACACAGCTTCGAAACACTAAAGCACTAATAAATGCTTTAATAAAAATTCTAGTATATAAGTAAGTGGAATCTGTTCAAACCTCAGTTCTCTACAGAAATACATCAAATTTTACACTGTCTCTATGCATGGCAGATTATTACCCTTTAATAGCTAGCGTAACAGTACATAAATGGTACAGTGTAACTGTACATTTTATATTGAATTTATGTTAACATTGATGAGAAGCAATGACTCAGTTCTGAAACACTTCTTAAGGAGTTTTTGCCCAAATTTCAGGGTTCTTTTTTTCGTAAGGGCAGCTTCTGATCTAAAGAATAAAAGCTAATATCACCCTGAAAATAACTTCCAGCAGAACTCTTAATTTTGTCTTCTTTTTCCCTGATTACTTGATAAAACTTAATCTAGCCATCTTCCTTTAGGCCAGAGGTCCTCAAACTTTTTAAACAGGGAGCCGGTTCACTGTCCCTCAGACACTGTCAGGGACTGGACTATAGTCTGGAAAAAAATGACTGAATTCCTATGCACAC